ACGCTCCCCTCCCCCCCACTACACCCCCGTCGCTACCCCGCCCCCCGGCTCCCCAGCCCGCCCCCGGGGCCGGTGGCGGCCGCAGCAGGCCCGGCGGGGTGGGCGGCCCGGCGCTGTCAGTCCCCGCGCGGCCCCGCCCTGCCCGGCTCAGTCCCGCTCGCCGCGGAGCCCGAACAGCCGGAGCCAGCGAGACCCGCGGCCGAGGTACCGGGCGGTGGGGCGGGGCCCTGGGGGGGGGGTCGTCACCAGGGAGTCAGTGAGGGGGGGTGTCAGAGTGTGGCTATGGGGGACTGGGGTCGGGGGGGTATATGGGTAGAGGTGGTGGGGGCTGGGGTCAGGGTGGGGTATATGGGTAGAAGCTGGCTGGGGTCAGGGTGGGGCTATGGGGGGCTGGCGGTCGGGGGAGTATATGGGTAGAGGTGGGGGGGAGTGAGCAGTCAGGGTGGGGCTATGGGGGACTGGGGTTGGGGGGTATATGGGTAGAGGTGGTGGGGGGAGCAGTCAGGGTGGGGGCTGTGTTACGATGGGCATTGGGGTGCGAGGAGGTTGTAGGGATGTGTGTGGGTTGGGGGCTAGGTGGGGACACAGTGGGGAGCTGGGGTATGACTTGGTTATGGGGGCTTCAGGGGTGAGATAGGGCCCTAGGGAGTTGGGAGTGGCAGGGCTGCTCTAGGGTGTGTGGGGGTCAGTGGGGTTGGCAGCAGGGTGAACAGGGATGGGTGGGGTGGCTGTAGTGGGGCTCTAGCAGTGAGGTGTGGGGGAACGGCCTTCTCTCCCCTAGTCTCTTTTGGAGGGAGGGGTTCTTCTTACCCCTTTGTCTCCCCTCTTGGGAGTCATCCCCCCCCTGTCCTGCTGAACTGGATAAAGCCCCGCGTGGGTTGAGCTTTGTCTCAGCCCAGCAGCTGATCCAGGGAGGGCGGTTAGGAAACACTTCCGTGGCTGGTTCTTCCCTTCCTTTGGGAGTGTGCTGAGTAACTGGGGATGGGTGGGGGCCTGGGCTACAGTGAAAGACTGGGGGAGGAGGGGAAACATCCCAGCTAGCCTTTCCGTGACCGTCTCTTGCACATGTCCACCCACTTCCCCCGAGGGGCTGCGTGCAGAGGCCACTGCTGGCTGAGTGTAGAGAGTGTGACTCTCCTTTGCCTTGTTACTCAGCGTAGGAGTGAGTTCTCGCTGCTTGGTCTCTTGTGTCACTGTCAACTGGAGAACGCCTACAACTGACGCCATAGGAAGTTTGTTTGAACCAAGCTGACTGAAATGGTGGTGGTTCCCCCATGCACCCACTATTTGCCTTTCTGGGTGTGTGCATGCTTCTCTGGTCATTTTCATGCTAAAAGAGCAGTTTCCTGGTGCTAACAAACTGCATTTCCGTGTTAACTGAACAGCAACTCTGTGTTCTAAAAAGTGCTCCTGGCTTACTACTGAGGTGGTTTTTAAACGTTGATATTAGGGGGTGGGGAGGAGGAATAGCTTTGTAGTGTCTTAGGAGTAAGTACGCATTCCAAAACCATGACTGAGTGGCTCTCTCCAGCACTAACAGTCTGGCAGCCAAGTCTTTTCAGCAGCAGCCAAACCCCCTAAATCCAGCCTCAGCCTCCAGACAACCCGAGCATAAAACAGTAACTAAGTTGTCGAGTCAGTTTATAGTGTGCAATCTGTGACTGGAAGACATGTTGTGTGCTAAGACCTCAAGCTGATTGAAACTAACTGGGTCATGGATAAAGGAAAATGTCACATTTTAAGCAAATTGTGAAAAGGGTTTAAAATTGTGTTAAAACATAGACAACAAACTATTTCAGGGCTTTACTTGTGCATTCCCATTTATATTCCACTTTCAGTCACACTTTACTTTCATTGTGCCGAGGGTCTTCTGGCCTCCATAATTTACGGTCAGTTTCCCTTCCTTGGCTATGTGTGAGAGCGTAGGGGCCTTAAACTGGAGTCATGTACCTAGTAGAAGATATTTGCTTAGAGAGGTTGTATCTAAATGGAAAATGCACAGAGCTGACCCACACCTAACAGGTTATCAGAAGTTTGTGTAAACAAAATATACATTGTAATCTTCTATTTGTGTTTGTGTGTGTTAGAGCTATGAAATGTAAGGAATGTGTTAGACAAATATTGATTGGCCCCAGGGCAAAAGCAGCACAACACTACACCAGGTAGAAACAGTTCCTGAGACTGTGGAATATTATTGGAAGCTAATAACATGTCACTTATTCTTCAGTATAAATGTTGGGAGAATCCTTTTTATTAATAAATGTGTAATAAGAAATCTATGCTGCCTTAGAATGAAGATTGACTAGATAGCTTAATGGGTGTGTGTGGGGCGGGGGGAGGTGAAGAGATGGTGTCTCTAGATTCAAGGTGTGGTGGGTTGTAAGAATTTTTTATGTAAGATGCACTTCAAGTGACTCCTCTCCTTGAAAATTGAGATGTTGAGCCTTTGTTTCCCTGTTTTGAAAAGAAATTCTGTGGAACAGTAAACTTCCAAACGAGAGGTGGTTTGCAGCAATAACTTCCTAAGGAAGTTAAGATCTTGCAGCATTTCTCAGAACATGGAATAATCCTCACGTCCTGCCCAGCTTCCCTCCCAACACACTGTTATAAACAAAAAGAACAGGAGTACTTGTGGCACCTTAAAGACTAGCAAATTTATTTGAGCATAAGCTTTTGTGGGCTACAGCCCACTTCTTTGGATGTGAAGAAGTGGGCTGTAGCCCACAAAAGCTTATGCTGAAATAAATTGGTTAGTCTCTAAGGTGCCACAAGTACTCCTGTTCTTTTTGCGGATACAGACTAACATAACACGTCTGCTACTCTGAAACCTGTTATAAACAAATCCTTGCGTGAATGCCAAGTGTAAAATGGCAGCCACTTTAGCCAGCAGGAATCTGACGCACTACTGTGCAAGGCACGGGGGATACACAAAGCAGGAAAGGTGGTATATAAACCCAAATTCTGTGCTTTCTAAAGGGGTCATGCATCAGATGAAATCAGGTTCAGCAGGCAACTGATTCCTGGATGCTGCTGAGCGTTAATTTTTTTACAAGGTGCTCTCGATCTGCCGTTTGTATAATGAAGAGTCTTGTAATTGGCAAGCCTCTTATTAAATAAATCCATACAATAGGTGAAATACTCTGAGGTTATTGCCTTTGGGGAAAGGAATGAGTGCGGGTGGTATCCTTTCTTGGATGAGAGGACAAAAATAATGTAGACTCCAGATGGAGTCAAAAAATGGAAGAAAGGCGTCTGTTTTTAGCACCTAGCAGTTTGCTCGTCGGTTGCCACACACTCCTTTAGCTCTAAAAGATTTTCAGTCTGAATTCTATTAAAATAAGATCCTGAACTCAAAGCAGTCTGACTGGTTTAGCAACTATAAAAAAGTTAGCTTTTGCACTTCAATGTTGTGACATAAAATATCAAAGTTCAAAGCTACAATTCTGAAGAAAGAGTATTGAGCTCAGCATTAGGTAAAGGATATGTTTAATGCATGTGAGATTTATTAATACCTATTGCCACATGACTATTCATTACTGAGCTGAGACTTTATGAATGGGCCTAGCTCATTAGGCATTCTCCCATGCATATAATCTTGAACTTTTTTAAAAGGGACTTCGGGTTAAAATTATATTATAAATTTATGTTTATGTTAATGTTTGCATGGTATTTTGAATATCTAAAAAATTTAATATGTACCATTATTAAACAACAAATAAACAACAAGAGTGCCCAGAGGCCCCAATTAGGATTAAACATTGTTGATTAGTAAAACACTGTGCTCAGATTTGATGAACTAAGGAATGAAGTGATGGTTCCAACTCTCTGCCTTCTTTCATCTAGCTGCAGTGAGAAATAGGCAATGATGTCCCACAGCATGCAGGCGTACACGCTTCAGGCAATGTTAGAACTGAAAGAATCTTTAAAATCCAAACTACCTCTCACCATTTATGCTGTTTGCTTTTTCATTTTTCTGAGCTTTGACAATGAAAACAGAGGTGTCAATTTCACTTCTGTTTATGGTTGGTTTCACTTTCTCCTTTTCATGCACCATGCTGCAAACATTGCAAAGGAAATGTTTAAATCCAAGATTTCAGAGTAGCAGCCGTGTTAGTCTGTATCCGCAAAAAGAAGAACAGGAGTACTTGTGGCACCTTAGAGACTAACAAATTTATTAGAGCATTAAATCCAAGATGTCTTTAATTTCACTAGAAGGGTGGTGAAGCACTGGAATGGGTTACCTAGGGAGGTGGTGGAATCTCCATCCTCAGAGGTTTTTAAGGCCCGGCTTGACAAAGCCCTGGCTGGAATGATTTAGTTGGTGTTGGTCCCGCTTTGAGAGGGGATTGGACTAGATGACCTCCTGAGGTCCTTTCCAACCCTGATATTCTATGATTCTACACTTACATATGTAATGAAACTATTTCTAGTATGAGGATTTGTAAAATCTTTAAATTTAAACATAAATTTTGAGATTAGCCCCCTCTAAGACACAGTCCTTAGTTTAGTCTAATAAAATCCTGTAAGTGGCCATGGGGAGCTTGGAGGGGCAGCATAGAGGAGTTCACCGGTCATAAAGAAAGGGTAACTGCCTCTGTCTGACACCCAACAACCCCCCACTGAAAATACTCTAAACTGATATGATTAGATAAAGGAATACAAACAAGTGCTTCTGGGGAGGGTTGTGGGAGCAGTGTAAGTTTATGTGGGAGTTGGATTGTTCATTTGGGAGGCTCGTGCTTGTAGTCACAAGTCTAATTGTGTTAATTGTGAGTAATGATTATTTGCATGAATAAGGGCTGTAGACTTAGGCCCTTTTCTTTATGTATAGTTACACAGACTGTGCTGCCTACAAACGATGTATGTGAAATTGTGGTCCCTTGCTTTGCCAAAACATGTCACTTCAATCAGATATCTGAAAGCGGGGATCATTCCAGAAACTGAAGGCAAAATATAGTCTCTGGTCTCAGATTCTTTTTCAGAATTTTCATACCCCAGGCATTAGATAGAGTACAGTACGATATCCTGGCTCTTCTAAGTTAGATAGCTCAGTGGACATTGTTTCTCCCGATGGGGTACTTTTTAAGCTTGATTTTTGGAAACTTGATTTTCTTTTGACAGCCATAACTGGTCAGAGAGATGGATTCGTTGCTAAGACCATTCTGCTTCCTCTTTGTTGAGGGTTTTATTTCATCTTGTGAAAC